CCAACTGAACACGACAAGAAAATCATTTAAGAATGCACTATTCGTTCGTCCTTCTACCGTTGTCATCGCCGAGTTCTTCTTCTATCATCAGTGATTCCTTATCAGGAGCTAAGTCATGCGAAAAATTGATGCCGCGCCGCGTTACTGTGTAATAAATAGAACAATAGCCTACCAACGGTCGATGGATTCATTTACAGAACGCACAAATATTTCGTACACAAATAGTTGATAACTAACTACAACTTGTTTGTAGGAAAGCGTACGTAATGAACCTTTCTTAAGTTGGACACACTTTCACGGTGATAGTCCCTTCTCATAATAAATGGCATGTGACTATTCCCTCTTAAATAGGATACCTCTGAAAAACCGACCAAAACAGGAATAGTATGGTTGTAAGCTATCCTACCACTAACCAGTGGGGTCTTATGAAGTTAATTCAAAACTATGGAGTATTCTGGCAGAGAACATTGCAGTAAGAACATCCCTTTTATGGGAACCCTTCTCGAACAACACTATGCGTAGGCGCTAGTTCTTGCTCAGTGGTTCTACTGCTACCTGCTACATTGCATTTTTTATTGACGTCGTCTCGCTTGGGCTTGTCAAAACTTGAACTTTCTTGTTTTCAGAAATCAATTCACTACATTCAGTAGGGAAAGATGTGTAGGTTTTCACAATATCAATATAGTAAAATCAAAAGAGAAAGGTTAGGAGACCCCACAAAGTACCATCCGTTCTTTGCGGTCATTCTAGGGTTGAATGAAAAATCCTAAGGAACCATGGAAAACAGCCGCTTTGGGAGGAGGCTTGACGTTCACCCTACATGGGCTTCTGCTGATCCGAACTACCCTATTCTCAACGACAACATGGGAAAGATGGCACTTTTTGGAGCCTTCTTACCCTTCCCTGATGAGTTTAGTATATTGAAATTGCGAAATATGGTGAACAAATAAAAGGGACAGCACAAATTTTGAGGTCCACGTTCAAAGGCTTGCTTGTAGTGTTCTATCAAATGAAGAATAACCCCGGGAACCGCGCCAGTTTCTGCATGACAGGCCCCCTGCAGCTTGTCGTTCATGGTCGTGCACAGCCACCCGAAGACTGAAAGAGACAATATTTTTTGCCAGCGCAAATACGAAGATATGCCTCAGCTAGGAAATTTGGGGATTGCTTAGCTTTTTGCCACCACACGCCACTGCTTTCGAGCTGTATCGCCAAAAAATTTAACCCGCCATGTGTTAAATGTTTATATCGTTCGAGGTTCATAGGAAGAATATTTGTTGGGGCTCAAAGCTTCGACAAAACGAACAAAGTTTTTCTCTGCTCCCGAAACCCAGGGTTCCACCGTTTGCGCAGGACTCCCGGTACCACACAAAAGTGTAATTAGTTAGAGATGAGATTCTTGTACCTGCTTTCGTAAGGCAGCGTTTTAGTTTTTAGATTTTTTAGGAATCCTGGAGTATTTTAGGCCTGCCTCCTACTTCCTCTTGCTTATGTATTTTTAATGAAATGAAGCCACTCTTAAGACGAAATTATTTGACGAAGATTATTTGACGAAGTTTCGGGCCGCTCCTGGAGGAGCTTCTTTTGGAAAGTCTTATGAAACAATGGAGCTCAGAAACTCTCCGATCTTATCTGATCCCAACTCTACTGCATAAGGAGTCTGTCATTGTAATGTGGGACCCTTTTATCAAGATCGCTAGTCCAAATCAAGCACTTGGTTGGATTTCTCAGTAACTACGCACGCTAGGGCTTCAACTTTAAACTTCGTCACCCACAGAGAAGATTTTCCTCGTACAGAAGAAAGTTTCCAATTTTTTAAGAGTTAAGTTAGGGTTAAGCTTTTGTAAAGCGTGTTGCTGCACTTGTTTTCAGTTTCTTTGGAAGATCTGACCACAAAGCTTTTCGGGAGGTACTGCAAGCCAGAAAGTAACTCTCACGGGCTACAGCTAGAAGTGGGGGGGTCAAATCTCATTTCGTAGTAATATATTATTTATCAATAAACGAATATCTAACAGCTTCAAATAAAGTAGTAAGTAGATAGCACCTATCGCTAATTACGAAGGTAATAGTGGCAGTTCCTTACTTGTCGATGACATTCATAGCGTAGAATGAAGAGGTTAAATGTTGAAGGTGTGCTTGTGAATTCGAGTGGAAGAATGAAAGGAACCCAAGCCACTAATTCAATAATTGTTGTTCCAAGGACAGAAACGAAACGAGTAGGAGGATCAGCTAAAATACGATAGATTTGGAAGTTTTAGATTTTGGAAGCGAAGTTTTAGAAATTTCAACGATTGGCATACTTTTTCAATCACCGATCAATTCTTATGCTTTTCATTCACCTTATAGAAAGCAATTTAAAATCTCGTGGTCATCATTGCATCAACTAATACGATGACGAGAAAATCAATACGCCATTTCATTGGAATCGATTACGAGAGATGTTAATATATAGAAAATTGACTAAAGAATGAGCGAATTAAGATGATCGACTCAACTGCACACCACTGATACAGATTTAACCAGTCACGGTTACCTGCCATTTCTAATTACCGTTAATTTCTTACAAGTAATTAAATGCTACAGCACGACAATACTCGATCGTAAAGTGTGTTCAGAGCTGAAGCAAATAACATCCCCAGACTTAAGTCTGTCGATTGGGTCGGTCTTGACGACGAGTACGACATTCCTTACCGTAATCGTCCCCACATCCCCAACCAACACCGTTCGAACTTGAACACTGTGAGTTTCGCGCAACCTTCACTTGGCCTACGGTAGCCGTTTGCGCGCCCCGACGACAGCCCCGCTTCGCCAACGGTGTGCATGTGCGTTTGTGTGTCTCTGCATGCGTGGGTGGAACAGGTTTCCTCCAACCGTGCCTAATTGCCGAACTAATAATATTTGTCTTAAAGTCAAAGCTGTTGAAGAGGATATTGTGAAATGGAAGACAGGAGTTAAAAATTGCGCAACATCACGAGAGTAGCATTTAGAAATTCAAGAGGAATCTTCAAAAGGCTAAAGTCGAGGAAGAGGTTGGAGATATCGCAGTTTTTATCGATGAGGGAGGTAGCGAGAGCTTAGCCTGAATAGAGAGTTGTGCTGCTTGCAGAAAGTCGCACACAGATTAAGAAGGTATAATAGGAATGTCACAAATGTCAGTACCTCCTCCTATTCACATGAGATGGCCATCTTTGATCTTCCTCAACAAAGAGCAAGAAGATAAGAAACTTATCCTTACAAAAACTGCTGCGGCAAACTTGGCCAAACGCCAAATGGGTAGGACAAAGCTTTTAGAGGGACTTCTACTCGTTCTTCTTCAACCCACCAACAACAACCAACTTTTTACCCCATTCCCATGACGTAGAAAGATTGGAGCTTCCGAGAGATGCGGTTCAAATCTGAGACTTTTCATTGGAAAAGCGCTACTACCCCCGGAATTAGTTTGTGGAAAAATTTTAGGGGCTGCTCTTTTTTGAGGGCATTATTTTACATGGCCTTGGCTTTGCAATGAAAAAAAAACCATTTTGGGTCATCTGCTGGTAAGCGCATCAGAAAGTCACTCCATTGGTAGAATCTGGTAGTACAATTCAGTGCAGATTTTTACAGTGGCAGTTGAGCTTAACTTCGGCCACTGTAAAAATCCTTATCTGTAAGAATTTTGACGAATAAAGGAGTAGGGAGTGCTATAGATTGAATAACATTATAAGAATTACTTCTTCTGAACGATACTGTTCAGTACGTGTTAAAATAGCACTAAAAAGGACTGAAACGAGTACAGAAGGACAAGTTGGGCGCAAATGAGAAGCGCCCACCCTAGTCTTCGGTTGACACCGGAAGTAAATATTTAGAGCGCATATCCACTATTTCAAATTGAAAAACTGCAGGAAAACTGGTAAATCATGTGGAAAGCGATGTTCTGGGTGTATTCACATGGAAATCGCTCCGCAAATGGAACAACATCGCGAAGACTAGCTCGTTTAGACTGATAATAATGTTCCACTTCAGTGCAAAAACGCTGTTCCTGTGGAACTCCTGTGTGAGACACAGTACAGCAGAAGGGTTTGCGTCCACCCTGAGAGAAACGGATTCCAAGAGAAGAAACGGAGGATAGAAAACCGCGCTAACCATGTGGCTGTGTAGACGGGCTCATGAAGCTCGTAAGTCGACGTGAAAAGTTCTGGAAGTTCACGTCAACATCAGGTGCATGACAGGCGTCGTGATTGTCGTCGTCGACAGAACACTGGTGTCTGTCAAACGACGGGAGTCTGCCGTCGGACGAGCGAACTAAGCGTGGGAAGGACGGTAATGTACCGGCGATAGTGTCAAGTTGCATCACGGGTCGCCGACTATCAGCCCATACATCGGCCATTCAGCCGGATGACGATGTGCGCCTCGCCGGCTATTAACCCCAACTGGCAAGCACCAGCTGGCAGCATCCACCTCACCCCACACTTCACTTCTTCGATTCGATCCTATTTGTTCGGATAAATACAACTTTCAACATCTTGTGGAAAATCGCAGCCGCTTTTCTCAGACCGACCGGCCATTCACATCATTAATATCGCTCGCTTATTGCTTCCACCGCCCCTCACTCCCACTTCGTCAGCCACATTAAGCGATGCAATAGCGATTAATTTTCATTTGCGATTAAACCTAGAGCCCATCCTCCGCCAGCGAACTCTTCGAAATCGTGGCCGAGTTCCGGATTTTCACAGAAATGTAGTCGTCGTTCTACGAAGGGCTTTTGGCTAGCAGTTGATTTTGTGAAAGCGGAACAGCTATATTCACTTCTTCTTCAGCTGGCATTATTTTTTACATTCTATTGTACAAAAAAATCGCAAAATTTCAATTTTAACCCGCATTTGTGAACAGTTTCCAGTTGTGCTTAGCATTTTTTATGCTGGCTTTGTCAAGAATAGGAAAATAATTTGGTCGATCTGCTAGAAAACAGCTACCGCTTTGGGTTCTGTGACAGCCATTTTCTTCAGTGACGTCACAGCTGCTTACTGTGGGCATGAAACGGTTCTACTGAATTGGTACAAACCTGGATCCTTTTTCGTTTCTATAGGCGCCTGGTGTGGAATCGATGAGAATGGTGTCAACCCGACACCTGGCATAGGCATCGTTGTCCACTGATTATACCACTGACCAGAATACCTGAAACATTTGAAATTTTCTTCAAAATCTTTTTTTCCATATTTTTCGATTATGTCATCCTAACTCGGTACCCCACTACGTTCTCCAACTTGTTAGAATTACCAATTAACCGTTGCTGATACAGGCAGCGAAATTAAAACGGAAGTGCGAGCAGTTAAATAGCAAAAGGTGGAGTTGTGAAGTGGGTTCAGAAAAAAGTGCTGAAAAATGTTTGTTAGCAAAATTTGGCTGAATTTTCCATAGGCAAAATTGGACCGTTTCACGGGGGAAGAAAATCGACTGCATCGACGCGTCGCGTCTCTTAGCCACCGTAGTAGCCACCAAAGCACGAGTGAAAATGCATAAAGTGATTAGAGAGGAAGGTGTGCGGAAGATGTCTAAGTGGTGCCCCCCAACCCGACCACTTAACGCCTAACGGCTGGCTGAATCATAGATGTACCACCGACGCCATCACCATCATCACGGGCCAAACAAACAACCACCGGGTGGAGCTTATTAATCTTCTACAGGACCTTAGAGATGTATAGTATGGATAACTACAAAGTATTTATGGTACAGACTTATGAAAGACTAGGGCTTCTCAGCTGGTCATTATCGCTACCCTAGCCACTGCATAGCCTTGAAAACCATTTTGCTCCCGACTGCAAGGAACTCTCCTCTGACCAAACGCCTTCAGCCATCCTGGCACTGAATAAAAAAAGCCAACCGATCCAATTTTTGAAAGGCGACTGATGCACTTCAAGCTTCACTGATCAAGTTTTGAATATTTGGGCATACTGATACCTCGATTCACCGTGGCCTAATGCTTTTGAAACATGCCTTCTGGATGTTACTCTCACATTCGAGTTTCCAAATATTCGAAATCCAAATGAAAAAAGTAACCTGAGATCTTTTTATTGTAATCGTAAGTTGTACTTCTGCGTCAAGGTTGTTAAGGTGGAAGCTTTATTCCGGCCAACGTTTCGACCGTCCCGTCGTTCTCAAAGGCCTTGTTCCACCGCGAAGCGTAGCGAAGCACCCCACTCAGTTAGTAAACGTTAGTAGAGAATCCCGAGATCCCATGTTACAAATCGCGTCTGAGCATAGCGTAGCTTTAAGTCCACAATGCATTCGGCTTATGTACTGAGAAACGCTAGCAAACGTACGGACAGAACAGCACTCTATTCAATGTTAGCAACGCTACTATTTGGCCGTGCTTCTTGCAGAACTAACCGGGGAGGTCTTTCAGGTAATGTCCAGCTTTCTCGAAAAGGTTTTCTTTGCATGATGTAGAGGTACATGCATGGCACACAGATCTGTGGTTTACTTTCCCTAAGCGACCCTCTGAATACCAAAAAAGGAGCGAAGAAAAATCTCTAGATGAACTGCCGTTCTTCTCTTTACCCTAGGATACCCTAAAAGATGATTATCCCAAAATTTCATAGGCAATGGTGGTCCAATTTTTATAGGAATCGAACAAGTACGCTCGTTTCAGCAATAAAAATTTCTCCAAATATACTTTTATTCGTAAGATTCCGAATACCTGTATTTTATTACAGGTGGGATAGGAAGAACCCGAAAATTTCGTGAAGAAATCCTGAACGCAACCGGAGCGTAAAAGGCTGTTCATGCTCGGATGTCAAAACCAATCAATCAAGGACCCATTCAAAACTACTAAGCGGCAATATATAGCAGCAATGTTGGTCTGGGGTTAGCAGAAGAAGGGATACCTGCCTACCTACTTTAAAGGGATTGATTTCTATGTCATTTTAATAATTTTTACCGTTTCAACAATGTCTGCGACATGTCAATGCTCTGAAGCGTAATTACTCTCAGAACTACTTCGACCTACTCAAAATACTACTAAAGCATTTCTTTGGTAGTGCTTCGGTTTGCAAGCGATGTCACCCCCTCTGGCTTGAGCTCAGCTTCGTCAAAATGAACCAGAAACTCCCTCAAGATTTTAGCGACACCGCGACGCCCATGCGCGTCAGATTTTCTTACGGAGGACGTTAATTTTGTGCATTTATTTTGCATTTTTCATGTTTTAGAACTTCTATGTACACTATTGGTTCCAGAAAACGATTCCATCAGTAATAATCGGATTATTGATGGGGTAAAGATAGTTCTGAAAAAAAATATTCAAACAAGATGGCGAGACACGCACAAACGGGCTGTGGTAAATATTTTGAGCCATCTTATTCGAGTACTAGACAGAAATGGTGAAATCCGGCTTCTTCAGTAGAGAAATAAGAATGACTTACGCTAGATTTGGATCGACGAAACGAAGACGATCGTAGAAGTCAGTTTGCATGGCTTGTTGCTCTTTTCGTGCGGCCAAGTTGCGCAACACTCGATTGATGGATGAAACCTAAGGCAAACCAGAATATCTCGGTCTGAATCGGCTCGGCTTTATGATCGCCGTCGATGAGGTTGGCACGTTAACATTTAATGTCATCAAAACTGTCTGCTTATAGCATTCATGACTACGTGGCCAAAAATTTTCATGAGCGATGATGATGATCACGAAAATAGACAGCAAGAGAGACGGCACAACCAGCGAAACCACGCCGATAATCGGGAAGGTGACCGGTCTCAGGGTGTGTGTCTGTAACTGACAATGAGTTACGGACGTGGTCAGTGCACAAATGAAGAAGTTTTTACATCACAAAACGACAACCACCGTACTACTACCCACATGACGAAACAGGAAAATGAGAAACGTAAGCATCACGCGCCAGGTGACGCAGTGCGTCGACGTTCGTTTGGCTTAGCTAGCAACGGGGGCTATTGGCGTGAATGGAGCTGCAGATTTGCGGATTCCTGCCAGAACAGGACCTAATTCGGCTTCGAATCCACTAGCGTAGAATATCCAAGGATAGCCATTAGAATTTAAAACAATATAATACAATCGGGGCGGATGACGTCCTTGAGGGGGGAGAGTATAGCGAGTCTCGACGCAATGAAGCCTAAAGATGCTTATCGTGCTCCGGTGTAAAGTTTGGCGGCAGTCAAACACGCTTGTTACAACGTGCTGATGTGGTGTACGGTAATCGCGTCCGAAGAAGACCGTCGGCCGTGCGCGCGCCAACTATTGAAATGGTATGGAAGAAAACAAAAGCGCAATATTACGGTAGTTATCGTCGTTGTCAGTCGCCGTCAACGATGTCGAGAGGCATAGCAAGAACACTGCGCGCTGACGTCGAACACACAAAACACCGCTCACGTTCATTACTCCATGCTACAATTTCGAAACACCCTGTAGGCAAAGGAATACACAGAAATAGGCTATTTCAAGGATATCCCTCCTACACTCGGTCAGAATCGATCTTCTGTTGCCAAATTCGTGATCAGGGTCGTCGAAAAAGCAATCTGGCCCAGTAACGGGCCCAGTCCACTACTTTTCCACTGAAAAATACAAAAGGGAAAAGTAAGCGACCGATTTTGCGAGAGCCATCACTGATGTGGTTTTCAACCGATGGCAAACTAATGAGTGCTGTAGACGAACGTGGGCTTTGGACAGTGTTTAAGGATTCCTCTTCTTTTTACCCATTACGGTAGCGCCGATCAGGAAAAGTAAGAAAAACTGCACGTTACACATGGCACACCGGTCCCCCCATGTATGACCGACACGAACATATCAAAATAGGAATTCAACGCATGTGAGGGGTTTTGCGGAGAAATTACTGCAGTGACAGTATCTCTTATGAAACGTAGTCCTATTCAGTAAAGATCTTGAGGTCATCAGCCATCCTTAGTGAACCGGTTAAACTCAATGACCCACCAGAATCATGGCACATCTACCAATCAGCAGAAATGACTTCTAAATGCTTTTCTTCAACTGGTTTTTGCAACGATTTTTTTTCCGTTGAAGAGGTTCAGAAAAGTGGAGTAGGAGGACCCTGACGTTTTCGCCCAAATGGGCTGAAACCATCCTTGCAGATCAGAGGCACGACTCTGACATTGGCATGTAGCTTCTGTGGGGACATATTGTATCATATTTCTTTCAGTGATTTGCGAGGTCGGTTAGCTTCTTAGAGGCTATAGCCCCTGACAAATCCTGTAAAGTACGGCCCCAGACGATAGGTCTAGCGAGTAGGGTACTATTTCAAACTTCTATCTATGGATGATAATATTTGTTGAGTTGGCTAAACTAGCAACTTGTCCAAATTACCGCAGAAGAAAATATTGTTCAAATTCCATGGCGATCAATGGTTAGCAGGGGCCCGACTGGTTTTTGCAATTTGACGCGATGAAGGGGCGTGGACCCCGGCCAAGTACGTCAAGCTGCTATTATCGGTTATGGTGCCGAGGTAGGGCAATTCCATTTGAGCTGTTAAGGAAATCTGACGAGAATTGCTTCGGTTTGCTTCATTTTAGGCGAATCTACCATATAACAGGTTATTTGGCGCGTGAAAAATCTATATCTTGGACACCACTCGAACCCACGTAACAGCACTCATTAGTTTCATGCCCTCATATAGCCGGGGGATTCAAGTGCGTCACAAGTTTTTTGACCTAAAAGACCAAACATAGCACATTTTACACAATACAGTTCGTTTTCACATTGCAGAAACCCATTCTTCAAATATTCATGTTGCAGAACATCCTAGCAATGCAAAAATTTTAAATTAATTTTCCTCTCGCAATTTTAGAAAATACTCAGGAATTGTGCCATGTTATACCCAGTTACAGCTTCTTCTTTCTTTTTTGAAATTGCTACTTCTAAAAACTTACGCATTGTATCGTGTCCTGAGCAGATATGACGGTGAGACTTATCCCGAAATCTCCCAAGCGAATATACTCGGCTGTTCTCGCCTTGTACTCTTCGATCTCTCCACTACATATGTTGGTGCTACTCTGAAATGCAGAGTGTTTAAATACTCAATAACATGGATATTTATCAGAGTTTGTTCACTTGCAGCGGCACAGCGCGGGCTCCTAACTGGGCTCAGGGATTAAAAAGGCGCATTTAAGTCCTTATGGATTGCCTACAGACTATTAAAAGTTCACAACTTCTATCAGTCCAGTATTGAGTATGATTTCATAGGAAATCGGAAGAGAGTTAAAACAGCGTTTTCACAGAAACCCGGCTTCAATGACGGGTTTTTCAGACTCCTAATGAGGTTTCTCTACTTCGTTTGGCGAACCATTACTATCGCTATCCACAATATAAAATGAGTTGCGCAACATTCTGCAAGCCTCCGCGTGGCAGAATCAGTGCAAAGTGTCTCAAAGTCCCACGAGAACAAAACAATACAGTAGCGCTCTAAATGTGTTCGCCGAAACGCTGCGAGTACCATTTTTTCTTCAAAAATAGCTTAAGTAATTGACTGCCAGTTTTTTCTTTTCAATATCTTGGTCCTTCAAGTCTCGAGAATTAGAAAATGCCAAAACACATATGCATATCACTATTCCACGCAAATCTACAAGGCGAGAGAAATGCGTACGAGAAACCTTTCGGCGAACACTTTGACGCACTACAGTATATGGATGTTCTCTGCACTCGCTAGTCTATATTTAAGAGAGCGATGCTCGGAATTGCGGAAGAGATGAACGGAAAAAGCCTTGGCGTGACCAATCTCATTTTTGAATGGTCTCCCATTGGTGTTTCATTTCAGGATTGAACCGACTTAGGTGCACTGGCCCTCACAAAGACTTCGAGGTAGCTCCAACATGGTTATCTCATCTGGTAAAGGCTCCAGGTTGGTGGGCACTCTCTGTTATCTTATGCCGTTGAATACTAGAGTCATGGCTTTGGACTTTATCACTATGTGGATAAAGCAATGAGAAGGACTCATTTCAAGTGCGAGTTTCTGGTATATGGTCAGCGGTGCGATGCCCACATCATATATGGTATCAGTCTGTTCGCAATAGGTAAAAAAATTTTATTGGCATGGTGCATGGTCGCACCATGCGGCTGCTTCTCCCTTAGACCTAGGCAAGGTGTGACCTACCCCAGTTCTGGACCGTTTCCTTACACCACAGCAGGCCGAAATCTGGAGTGCACCTTAGGAATGCTTCCACACAACACCGATCTTATACAGAGCGGTATATTTAAAATGAATCGATTACGTGTCTATGAAACCTTTTATCCTTATCCTTAGCGATGAAGGGCACAATTGAGTCTCCCTCCCCCACGCCCTTTCAAACTGGAGTTTCACCCTTCAATCTAACGCTAACAGAAGAGGAACTCCTAGCCGTTGACGACCTCGGTGGGATAGAAGATTCAACTAAACTAAGCTAAGTTCTAGCCGAAGTTCTACATTCGGACAAGATGGAGCTACAACGACTTCTCATTGCTTCACTCAACGCGTGAATGTGATACTCTGTTCATTCTCTCAATTCTATACATGCTGAAGACATAATCATACTGGCAGTATTAATGCAGAAGGCAGTACTAGGCTGCCACTGATCTCACAACCCTTAGTAGAGAACATTAATCAAGTAAGGCAGCAGGTTAAATTTATTTGGGAAAAACATTTCTAGGATTTCACAAGAATGCTGGGTTGTGAACAAAACTTTCGCCTCAGGCGGCACTAAAACCCGCACCTCTCGCTTTCCGAGCAAGTGCGCTACCAGTTACGCTACCGAGGCACCATTTCATTCCAACTCAGCTCTTCATGATATACGTACCACATACCGTATCACAACCCAGCATTCTTGTGAAACATTCGCAACGCGAACTGCGGCGTTAAAACAGCAGTTAACAAACAAAACAAGTCAAAATTTCTAGGATTGTTTTTGATTGTTAACTGCTGTTGTTGGCCGCAGAGGGGAGCTGAGTTGGGATGAAGTGGTGCCCGGCTGCGTAACTGGTAGCGCACTTGCACGGAAAGCGAGAGGTGCGGGTTCTAGTCCCGCCTGGGGCGAAAGTTTTGTTCCCAACCCAGCATTCTTGTGAAACATTTCTAGGATTATCTATGGAGCGTGCCTGACTGAATTTACAGAACGCTCAGATGATTTGTTTTATTCAGGCTGCTGGACGCAAAATGGGAGCACAAGCAGGTCATTTTCTTCAAGCCGCTATCCAAGTGAAGGAAGAAACTTAAGCTTGCCAATTGCCGGATCCTCTTGCCTCCAGTAAACCTGGACAAGAGTAGGTGATTGAACGAATCGTAAGGAGGTAAATCAGCCGCTACACAGCTGCGCCTCACAGCCTCAAGATCACGGGCAACAGAAAATCATTGCGAGGAACTATAGGAAATTTTGTCGTATGCAACTTACTACTTCTGATTTAAGTACTGCATCGAATTCGTCATACACATGATTACTACCATTTGATTACTTAACTCGTTTTCTCACGGATCATCTCTTTCGAAGGCAATTTCTGAGAAATCCCGAAATAAAAGCAGGAATTAGCTCAAGGTTTCTACTTTGATGGAAAAAAAACGAATTTCTGAACTAGTGAAACTGGAGAAAATAGGTTTGTTAGCTGAAAATGCAGAGGGCGTGATTTTTTCATTGAAACACACCCACCATAATCTAAATTTGCAACAAAATCACATCGCAATTTTTAGGGCTTAATCAAGTGCTCTCCTAGGGCACAGTACTGGACGTCAGAATTATCGTAGATTATTCGAAGGCGTTATCACTGTTACACAAGAATGGATGATCATCTGTAAAGTATTGCGATCAATAAACTGAATTTGCACTTAACTGGAATACTAACTCAATAAATTTACAGAATTCTATGCTGCAAAAATCTGTATCAAAGTGTGACGGTAGTCCGTTCCTGAGGGTCATCGTCCATTGTGCCAGGGCCAACGGGATTGTATTCATGATTTTTGAAAGAGATCACGTCTGAGTAAGTTATTCTAGAGGCGGTGAAGGCTGAGGGGTCGTGCTGCACGAAAGTGGGTTATTTTTCAAGATATTTACGCTTTTTTCCAAATTTTTTACCAAAAGTGCATGCTGTCAAAATTCCAATCAGCTGTTTACAACCCTTAACTATGTGACCTCCCTCCTCACCAACAACGCAACGGCATTTT